ATATTAAGCTTTCTTTACAGGCCCGGCTACGTTCTTATGAATTAGATAATATTGAAGCTTTCTTTACAGGCCCGGCTACGTTTTTATGAATTAGATAATATTGAAACTTTCTTTACAGGCCCGGCTATGTTATTATGAAGTAGATAATATTGAAGCTTTCTTTACAGGCCCGGCTACGTTCTTATGAAGTAGATAATATTTAGTTAAGTGCACATGTCTGAAAATTTAGTTTAAATATACATCTATTGTTTAAAGCTTTAAAATCCATTGGCAATTTTCAAGATTATTTTCCTAAAACACGCATTTCCCTTTACAAGAATGAGTATGTTTACATACTTTTTTACATTTAGAACTTGAGCTACAGTGTGATACCAATAACAACAGGACAAAGTAACATATAAACAGCTAACAATAGGACGCAGTAACATTTACATAGCTAACAGCAGGTCACAGTAGCATTTATACACCTAACAACAGGACACAGTGACATCTACATAACCAACAACAGGACACAGTAACATTTACGTAGCTAACAATAGGACAAAGTAACAATTAGATAGCTAACTACAGGACACGGTAACTTTTAAATAGTTAACTGCAGGACACAGTAACATTTATACAGCTAACAGCAGGACAGAGTAATATTTATATAGCTAACAGCAGGACACAGTAATATTTATATAGCTACGTGCAGGACACAGTAACATTTATACAGCTAACAGCGGGACACAGTAATATTTACATATTTCACAGCAGGACACAGTAACATTTATGCAGCTAACAGCAGGACACAGTAACATTTATACAGCTAACAGCAGGACACAGTAACATTTACATATTTAACAGCAGAACACAGTAACATTTATATAGCTCACTGCAGGACACAGTAACATTTACACAGTTAACAGCAAGACACAGTTAACAGAAGGACACAGTAACATTTACACAGGACAGTAGGACACAGTAACATTTATACAGGACAGCAGGACACAGTAACACTTACACAGTTAACAGCAGGACACAGTAACATCTACAAAGTTAACAGCAAGACACAGCAACATTTACACAGTTAACAGCAGGACACAGTAACATTTATACAGGACAGCAGGACATAGCAACACCTGCATAGTTAAAAACAGGACACAGTAACATCTACAAAGTTAATAGCAAGACATAGCAACATTTACACAGTTAACAGCAGGACACAGCAACATTTACACAGTTAACAGCAGGACACAGTAAAATTTACACAGTTAACAGCAGGACACAGTAACATTTACACAGTTAACAGCAGGACACAGTAACATTTATACAGGACAGCAGGACACAGTAACACTTACACAGGACAGCAGGACACAGTAACAC